CATTTGCACCCCAGTATCTCTATTTGCACATCATCTTCTGCACATCTATCATTCCAGTGTTAATACTACATTGTAATTATTTTGCACTATGGCCTATTTATTGCCTTACCTCCATAACTTACCATATTTGCACACACTGTATATAGATTTTCTATTGTGTTTTTGACTGTATGTTTTGTGTAACTCTGTGTTGTTGTTGTTTTTAATCGCACTGTTTTGCTTTATCTTGGCCAGGTCGCAGTTGTAAATGAGAACTTGTTCTCAACTGGCTTACCTGGTTAAATAAAAAAATTATAAAAAAAATTGGTAACAGTTATTTAAGCAATAAGGCCAGAGGAGGTGTGGTATATGACCAATATACCACAACTAACGACGCAAGCGGAGTGCCTGGACACAGCCCTTACCTGCGGTATATTGGCCATACAGTGAGGGAAAAAAGTATTTGATCCCCTGCTGATTTTGTACGTTTGCCCACTGACAAAGAAATGATCAGTCTATAATTTTAATGGTGGGTTTATTTGAACAGTGAGAGACAGAATAACAACAAAAAAATCCAGAAAAACACATGTCAAAAATGTTATAAATTGATTTGCATTTTAATGAGGTAAATAATTATTTGACCCATCTGCAAAACATGACTTGGTGGCAAAACCCTTGTTTGCAATCACAGAGGTCAGACGTTTCTTGTAGTTGGCCACCAGGTTTGCACACATCTCAGGAGGGATTTTGTCCCACTCCTCTTTGCAGATCTTCTCCAAGTCATTAAGGTTTTGAGGCTGACGTTTGGCAACTCGAACCTTCATCTCCCTCCACAGATTTTCTATGGAATTAAGGTCTGGAGACTGGCTAGGCCACTCCAGGACCTTAATGTGCTTCTTCTTGAGCCACTCCTTTGTTGCCTTGGCCGTGTGTTTTGGGTCATTGTCATGCTGGAATACCCATCCACAACCCATTTTCAATGCCCTGGCTGAGGGAAGGAGGTTCTCACCCAAGATTTGACGGTACATGGCCCCGTCCATCGTCCCTTTGATGCAGTGAAGTTGTCCTGTCCCCTTAGCAGAAAAACACCCCCAAAGCATAATGTTTCCACCTCCATGTTTTGACTGTGGGGATGGTGATCTTGGGGTCATAGGCAGCATTCCTCCTCCTCCAAACACGACGAGTTGAGTTGATGCCAAAGAGCTCCATTTTGGTCTCATCTGACCACAACACTTTCACCCAGTTCTCCTCTGAATCATTCAGATGTTCATTGGCAAACTTCAGACGGGCATGTATATGTGCTTTCTTGAGCAGGGGGACCTTGCGGGCGCTGCAGGATTTCAGTCCTTCACGGCGTAGTGTGTTACTAATTGTTTTCTTGGTGACTATGGTCCCAGCTGCCTTGAGATCATCGACAAGATCTTCCCGTGTAGTTCTGGGCTGATTCCTCACCGTTCTCATGATCATTGCAACTCCATGAGGTGAGATCTTGCATGGAGCCCCAGGCCGAGGGAGATTGACAGTTCTTTTGTGTGTCTTCCATTTGCGAATAATTGCACCAACTGTTGTCACCTTCTCACCAAGCTGCTTGGCGATGGTCTTGTAGCTCATTCCAGCCTTGTGTAGGTCTACAATCTTGTCCCTGACATCCTTGGAGATCTCTTTGGTCTTGGCCATGGTGGAGAGTTTGGAATCTGATTGATTGATTGCTTCTATGGACAGGTGTCTTTTATACAGGTAACAAGCTGAGATTAGGAGCACACCCTTTAAGAGTGTGCTCCTAATCTCAGCTCGTTACCTTTATAAAAGACACCTGGGAGCCAGAAATCTTTCTGATTGAGAGGGGGTCAAATACTTATTTCCCTCATTAAAATGCAAATCAATTTATAACATTTTATAACATTATTTTTTCTGGATTTTTTTGTTGTTATTCTGTCTCTCACTGTTCAAATAAACCCACCATTAAAATTATAGACTGATCATTTCTTTGTCAGTGGGCAAACGTACAAAATCAGCAGGGGATCAAATACTTTTTTCCTTCACTGTATATCACAAATCCTAGAGGTGCCTTATTGCTATTACAAATAAATATTTTGTCACGCTCTGGCTCCGGGACTCTGTATAGTGAGCCAGGGTGTGTTCATTATTTGGGTGTATTTCTATGTTTGTATTTCTGTTGGGTGCATTTCTATGTTTGGTCAGTGACTCCCAATCGGAGGTAACGAGTGTCAGCTGTCGGCTCGTTATCTCTGATTGGGAGCCATATTTAATCTGTATGGTTTCCTGTGGGTGTTGTGGGTTTTTGTTCATTTCGGTTTGTGTTAAGCCGTAGACGTCACGTTATCATTTATTGTTTTGATCGTGTGATCAGTGAAAATAAAGATATGTTCACCTTCAACGCTGCGCCTTGGTCCTCCTCTATGTGTGACGATCGTGACAGAAAAACCCACCAAGATGGGACCAAGCAGCGTGTCCAGGAGCCATCGCCAGGGAGATCCCTCACAGATCTCCTTCGCCTCCTGGACTGGGTCAAGCCGAGGGAGGAAGACAAGGGCTTGACGCTATGGCAGAAGGGCGAGAGGCTGGCGAGGTCTATGGAGACCTGGTCCACGGGTAGGAGAGACGCCCCGAAAATTTTTAGGGGGGGGCTCGAGACGTCGGACCAGCAGGAGGCCGCGGTAGAGCGGCCCAGTGGGTTGCTGGAGAAGGCCGCCGGGTTACGGGGGCCACTGGTCAAAGAGGGGATGGAGGAAGTGGAGGCACGGCGAGAGGTACTGGCGTGTGTTGCCAGTCCGGTCCGGCCCGTTCCAGATCCCGGTGTGGGGCCAGTGGTGTGTGTCCCCAGTACAGTCCGGCCCATCCAAGCTTCCCGCACCAAGCCAGTGGTGTGTGTCGTCAGTCCAGTCCGGCCCGTTCCTGCTCCCCGCATCAAGTCTGTGGTGCGTCTCGTCAGCCCGGCTCTGCCCGTTCCTGCTCTCCGCACCAGGTCTGTGGTGCGCGTCGCCAGCCCAGTCCGGCCCATTCCTGCTCCCCGCATCAAGTCTGTGGTGCGTCTCGTCAGCCCGGCTCTGCCCGTTCCTGCTCTCCGCACCAGGTCTGTGGTGCGCGTCGCCAGCCCGGCTCGTCCCGTTCCTGCTCCCCGCACCAAGTCAGGGGTGCGCTTCGACAGCCCGGCTCGGTCCGCTCCTGCTCCCCACACCAAGCCAGTGGGGTGCGGCGTCAGTCTGGCACGGCCCGTGCCTGTTCTCCGCACCAAGTCTGTGGTGCGTTTCGTCAGCCCTGTCCGGCCCGTTCCTGCTCTCCGCACCAAGTCTGTGGTGCGCGTCGCCAGCCCAGTTCGGCCCATCCAAGCTCCCCGCACCAGGTCAGTGGTGCGCGTCGTCAGCCCGGTCCGGCCCGTTCCTCCTCCACGCATCAGGCCAGGGGCGCGTGTCGTCGGTCCGGCTCCGGCCAGCGGGGCTGGACAGGACCAGGGGTACTTTGGGGGGTTGGAGAGGAGGTGGGGATCAAGGACGGAGCCAGAGCCACCGCCGAGGAGGTGTGCCCACCCAGCCCTCCCTTGTTTAGCCCGTATTGAGGCGCGGTCGCAGTCCGCGCCTTTAGGGGGGGGTACTGTCACGCTCTGGCTCCGGGACTCTGTATAGTGAGCCAGGGTGTGTTCATTATTTGGGTGTATTTCTATGTTTGTATTTCTGTTGGGTGCATTTCTATGTTTGGTCAGTGACTCCCAATCGGAGGTAACGAGTGTCAGCTGTCGGCTCGTTATCTCTGATTGGGAGCCATATTTAATCTGTATGGTTTCCTGTGGGTGTTGTGGGTTTTTGTTCATTTCGGTTTGTGTTAAGCCGTAGACGTCACGTTATCGTTTATTGTTTTGATCGTGTGATCAGTGAAAATGAAGATATGTTCACCTTCAACGCTGCGCCTTGGTCCTCCTCTATGTGTGACGATCGTGACATATTTGATCATACCCATGGTATACGGTCTGATATAGCACGGCTGTCAGCCAATCAGCATTCAGGGCTCGAACCACCCAGTTTATAATATACATTACGTCATCTATACACATGTATGCATAAACCAAACTAAATACAGTCAATAAAAGGACATGCAGACATTTATAAAGAAACATCTCCATGTAGGATGCGGTGGCAGGCTTTGGCAGAGGCATTTATACTGAACAAAAACATAACCGCAACATGTAAGGTCTTGGTCCCATGTTTCATGAGCTGAAATAAAATATTTAGTTGCCAAATTTGTTTACATCCCCTGTTAGTGAGCATTTCTCCTTTGCCAAGATAATCCATCCACTCGACAGGTGTGGCATACCAAGAAGCTGATTAAACAGCATGATCATTACACAGGTGCACTTTGTGCTGGGGACAATAAAAGGCCACTTAAAAATTTTGTCAAACAACACAATGCCACAGATATCTCAAATTTTAAGGGAGCGCGCAATTGGCGTGCTGACTGCAGGAAGGTCCACCAGAGCTGTTGCCAGAGAATTCAGCCACCTGGACAGCTGATGAAACTGAGGAGTATTTATGTCTGTAATAATGCCAGATTGTGGGGAAAAACTCAATCTGATTGGCTGGGCCTGGCTCCCAAGTGGGTGGGCTTGGCTCCCAAATGGGCGGGCCTATGGCTGCGCCCCTGCCCAGTCATGTGAAATCTAAAGATTAGGGCCTTATCAATGTAGAAGGATACTATCCCAGGTATTCCTTAAAGAGGTAGGGTTTCAAGTGTCTCCGAAAGGTGGTCAGTGACGCCGCTGTCCTGGCGTCGTGGGGGAGCTTGTTCCACCATTGGGGTGCCAGAGCAGCGAATAGCTTTGACTGTAACTATATGAACTGTAACTCAGTAAAATCGTTGATATTGTTGTATGTTGCGTTTATATTTTTGTTCAGTATACATTGTTACCTAATAACATTTCAGACAATGTATTATTTTCACTTTGGCTGGAAAGCTGATGAAAAAGATATTCCCTAATGTCGTTTGGGTATGTAAGGTGTGTTAGTTACCTGTCTGGGCTGGTCGGGGAGGCAGGGCTGGCTGTAGATATGTCTTAAAGGCTTGAGGATCTTTGTACCTCCCAGGTCAGCCCTCATTCCCTTCACCTTCTGTAGAGCCTCATCCATAGTCTTCTGGCTGTACTCCACACTCTTACTGACGTCCAGATAAATACATATATACAGACAGACAGAGACAGATATGAGACAGACAGACATATACACACATATACATATACATACATACATACATACATACATACACACACACATACACAGTGGGGAGAACAAGTATTTGATACACTGCCGATTCTGCAGGTTTTCCTACTTACAAAGCATGTAGAGGTCTGTAATTTGTATCATAGGTACACTTCAACTGTGAGAGACAGAATCTAAAACAAAAATCCAGAAAATCACATTGTATGATTTTTAAGTAATTAATTTGCATTTTATTGCATGACATAAGTATTTGATCACCTACCAACCAGTAAGTTGGCTCCGGCTCTCACAGACCTGTTAGTTTTTCTTTAAGAAGCCCTCCTGTTCTCCACTCATTACCTGTATTAACTGCACCTGTTTGAACTCGTTACCTGTATAAAACACATCTGTCCACACACTCAATCAAACAGACTCCAGCCTCTCCACAATGGCCAAGACCAGAGAGCTGTGTAAGGACATCAGGGATACAATTGTAGACCTGCACAAGGCTGGGATGGACTACAGGACAATAGGCAAGCAGCTTGGTGAGAAGGCAACAACTGTTGGCGCAATTATTAGAAAAAGGAAGAAGTTCAAGATGACGGTCAATCACCCTTGGTCTGGGGCTCCATGCAAGATCTCACCTCGTGGGGCATCAATGATCATGAGGAAGGCGAGGGATCAGCCCAGAACCACACGGCAGGACCTGGTCAATGACCTGAAGAGAGCTGGGACCACAGTCTCAAAGAAAACCATTAGTAACACACTACGCCGTCATGGATTAAAATCCTGCAGTGCACGCAAGGTCCCCCTGCTCAAGCCAGCGCATGTCCAGGCCCGTCTGAAGTTTGCCAATGACCATCTGGATGATCCAGAGGAGGAATGGGAGAAGGTCATGTGGTCTGATGAGACAAAAATAGAGCTTTTTGGTCTAAACTCCACTCGCTGTGTTTGGAAGAAGAAGAAGGATGAGTACAACCCCAAGAACACCATCCCAACCGTGAAGCATGGAGGTGGAAACATCATTCTTTGGGGATGCTTTTCTGCAAAGGGGACAGGACGACTGCGCCGTATTGAGGGGAGGATGGATGGGGCCATGTATCGCGAGATCTTGACCAACAACCTCCTTCCCTCAGTAAGAGCATTGAAGATGGGTCGTGGCTGGGTCTTCCAGCATGACAACGACCCGAAACACACAGCCAGGGCAACTAAGGAGTGGCTCCGTAAAAAGCATCTCAAGGTCCTGGAGTGGCCTAGCCAGTCTCCAGACCTGAACCCCATAGAACATCTTTGGAGGGAGCTGAAAGTCCTTATTGCCCAGCAACAGCCCCGAAACCTGAAGGATCTGGAGAAGGTATGGAGGAGTGGGCCAAAATCCCTGCTGCAGTGTGTGTGCAAACCTGGTCAAGACCTACAGGAAACGTATGATCTCTGTAATTGCAAACAAAGGTTTCTGTACCAAATATTAAGTTCTGCTTTTCTGATGTATCAAATACTTATGTCATGCAATAAAATGCAAATTAATTACTTAAAAATCATACAATGTGATTTTCGTCTCTCACAGTTGAAGTGTACCTATGATACAAATTACAGACCTCTACATGCTTTGTAAGTAGGAAAACCTGCAGAATCGGAAGTGTATCAAATACTTGTTCTCCCCACTGTGTATATATATATATATATAACAGACCCAAGACATGGACATTTTAATATTTCCTCTAACCTGCTGCAAATGATTAAATGTAAACATTAACTGTCAAACACTGTCACTGTTTACCTTTGGATTTGGATTACCTGGTGCAACATACATGATAAAACCCTAGAATGTCATAGCTCAATGTGTTTGTAAAAAACTGTCAAAGGGTCATCACCACAACATATTATAGACCAAAGACATAGACACTTTAATATTTCCCCTACCTAGGCCTGTGGCAGTCATGAAATTTTGTCAGCTGGTGATTGTCACCCAATAACTGCCGGTCTCATGGCAATTGACCGTTAATTAGCATAAACACGTTTAGCATCTCCTGGCTTCCAAGCATTGCCTACAAGCCACTGATACAGACCTTTGGAACATCTACATTCTAAAAAGTCTAATAAATCCATTTAATATAGCCTACACCATCACAAATCCATTACTTATTTTAGACAGGTCTAAAGAAACATGATATGAAGAAAATGTAGTCTATTTCAGAAGAACAGAATAGCATACTCTGTGTTGTCCTTATGTTAGGCTGTGGGCTACACTAGTTCATTTAGCAGACAAGATGTGTTTAGAATTCCGTGGCATTATTTTATAGTATGAAGAATACAATTGAACATAGCTTAATAAAATATAAAATATATTTTCTCCAAAGTGCGCACATGCGGCTATTCTGTGTTGAGCAGCTAACAAAGAAACTGGTCCTCCTATATGCTTAATTTCGAGTTATTTATGCAAATGTAGTTGTGATACAAACATTGGGCTATATATTTTGATGTTTAATACATTCTAAGGCTGCAAGATGGGATTCTAATGATGATTTGAAAAAAGTCGCAAGCTGCACACACTTCATCAGTCTCTCATCCACAACTTGACAATCACTTGATAATATTCTCACCAGGCCTCGAATTTCCCGGTGGCATCCCCCTTATGTGGCCGTAATGCCCCCTATAATACGCAAATTATAATTCCCTTCTCCCGGCTGCCGTGCTCCGAAGCACCTCTCACTCACATGGCTCTCTCAGATGTAGCCAATTCCATCACGTGATCGGGTCCTTCTCACAGGCATTTCAAATAAGAAGTAGGCTACAAGTGAATGAAGACAGACACATTGAATTCCGAAGCACATATTGAAGATGTTAGAACTGTCCACATTTACTTTGTCAGACAACAAGATGAGTAGGCCTAACAAACAGCAAAACCACTAGCCTATGTCAATCTACTATCCCCCATAGTACAAAAGTTGACCCATTATATTGGTCAACTTGTCCTTCTGTGCAATAAATACATATTCCCAACATAGTGGGAAAGTTGTGGGATGCAATAGATCCCAAATTAATACAACCACTCGCATAAAAAAAAACGTTGAAAAGTAATGAGGCTGATCGTTTAGCTTAAATGTTGCTAAACTAGTAGGCTATTTTTTCACATAAGCGCAGCAATGTGCACACGGCAGTAGGCGCGAATGTTCCAAAATGCAATACATTAGCGGGAAAACGCTGTTCTTGAAAGTGACGGCAAATGCCAGTTATAAAGCAGATTAAATGTGCTTAATTTTAAGAAGTTATTTGGCCACTTTAGTTGTGATACAAACCTTATCAAAACATCTAGGCCTATGGGCTAAGTTACATGAGGTGTGCGAATATGATTAGAAAAAGTGACCAAAAAAAGGTATGCGCTGTTTCTTGCCTTAATGCAAGTCATTCAGGGGAGGTGCAGAGCCCCACCTGTTTTGAGCCCCACCTGTTTAGCATAAAGAAAAAACTGTTTTTATTTTCTTTCTTTTTTTTTGGGGGGGGGGGCTGTTTTGTATGTTATTTTGGCATTAATACGTTTCATATATCAGTTTGCAAACAATCTAAAAAAAAAAAAAAGGTATATTTTTTGCTTTGTTGAGTAAGGCAGCTCCAAAACGCAGGTGTTTCAGCCTAACTCAGTGCTTTCTGTGGTGGTGGGGCAGCCAGCGGAAAATACGGAGCGTAGGGGTTGGTAATGTTCTCTAGTTGTGCCGTGATTGGCTCAGTGTTCTGTCACTCATGGTGAAATTACGTCACCGCAAAATCTACGGGTAGAGCTCGAAAATTCAAGCCCCTTAGGTGCTGCCGTAGACTTACATTAGTAGTGTCCATCCAAGAAGGCTCAAGGTCATTGACCACAAATAAAATGACGTCAAATCACGTTATATCTACCGTAGCTTTGATTGGACTGATCATGTCAACATCATACTTTCAAAATCTTAGCTAGCAAGCTAGACAAGTAGTCATTGATCATTATGAATCTAGTCGACAATCTACTGGCAAATCCTTTTCAATCCTTGTCATATGAAAATAAATTATAGATAAAAACGTATCGGTGCTCATCAGCCATTGGACATAAACATTACACAACAAGTTGGAAATCTCAAATTCAACAATGAGTGCTGAGGCGCGACTGCAGCCTCGGGTTCGATCCCAGGCTGTGTCACAGCCTGCCGTGACCGGGAGACCCATGGGACGCCGCACAATTGGCCCAGCATCGTCCGGGTTAGGGGAAGGTTTGGCAGGCCGGGATTTCCATGTCTCATCGTGCTCTAGCAACTCCTTGTGGCGGGCCGGGCGCCTGCAAGCTGACTTTGGTTGTCAGTTCGACAGTGTTTCCTCCGACACATTGGTGCGGCTGGCTTCCGGGTTAAGCGAGCAGTGTGTCAAGAAGCAGTTCGGCTTGGCTCTCGTCCTTCGCCGAGTCCGTAGGGGAGTTGCAGCGATGAGACAAGATCGTAACTTCTGGCCCATGGCGTTGCATGTGAATGTTTACCCTTCAAAACAACTGGAAACTCGGAACTGGGAAATCTCAGACTTCAGTCAGGTCAAGACAACTGGGAACTCTGAAAAAAACTAGCTCTGACTGGGAAAAAAAATCAGAAAATAATTTTGAACGGTCATCCAACTCGGTTTCCAAGTCGGGAACTCGGGCCTCTTTCTAGAGCCCACAAGATGGACCGCCGCGCCACCTTCCTGTTCAAGTGAGCACAGCACAACAAGGGGAGTCCAGAAATGTCTTGTATACTGCTGCATAAATGATGTAATATGCCAGGGAGATATGTATACTGTAGCTAAGAAAGTAATACTATGTGTATGTTGTGTAGTAAGCGTTTAGTTGCCCATGTGCCTCACCCTAATAATTTGGTCCCTTTCCCCCTCATAACTTAGCCTACTGTTCTGACTTGGTGGTGTACATGTAGCCTATAGCCTGTTTTAGAGAAATGTAATCATTGAATATCGTAAGAGCTTTCATGGTCTGCTTATATGCCCCCTTTATTTATCCTACGGTTCTGACTTGGTGTACAGGGAGAATACTGTAAGAACGGCCCATGTTCTGAATTCTGTCGCTGTACATTGTAAAAATGCTGAACATAGTTATATTTACTACGTCCATCCTAGCTCGGATTGCCTCTTATCCACTCATCATTCCCTTATGCCATAGTTTGTACATCTCAATTGTCAGTAGAAACCACATTTGTTTAAGGAAGTCAGCCATATCAGCTATCATAAAAAATAAATAAAAAATCAGGCTGAATGAACTGTTTCGCTGCCAGACAAGGCTCCGCTGATAGCCAGGTGTAGCGGTGGTAAGGATTCACTCCATGGTGCTGAAAAGAACGCTCTGCTGTTGGGACAGCTTTATGTAGGCCTTAACAGTTTGTGGGCACCGTTTGTCAACGTTATAGTGCAATGAATGTATTATTTAGTGTTGTGTTGTGGCTTTGCTGGCATCAAAATGTTTTGTTGTTGTTGTTTGCCCGCCAAGATTTACGTGCTAAAATCGCTACATCATTCACAAGTGATAGGCTAATATTGTCACCCATTAGACTATTCTTAATTTAATGGTGTCTTTACATATAATAAATAATATACGTTTGATATTAGTTTTGATTTAGAATGGACCATTATCATGCACCTGTCTCAGAACAGGGGCATGAGAAAAGAAATACATTTCCATTGATGTCAGAGTGATTAGAGGGACAAAAGAGTGCTGAGTACCAGGCAGTTAAAAAGTTTGGTAGCCTACTATTGACCATCAGCAGCATCAGAGCTTGGAGAAGCCTAATTACCGTGACTAAACGGTCACGTGGAATTTGACTGCCTTCAAGACTCCTGACCGCCGGTGTGGCGGTAATACAGTCACTGTAACAGCCCTACCCCTACCTGCTGCAAATTATTAGATGTTAACATTAACTATGAAACAATGTCACTGTTTACCTTTGGATTTGGACTACCTGGTGCAACATACATGATAAAACCCTAGAATGACATAGCTAAATGTGTTTGTAAAAAACTGAACTCTTCAGACACTGACTTGAACTGATTGAAACAGGGGTTGGAAGGAGAGAACACTCACGGAAAGAAGGACTTATAAATGTTCCCAAAGCCGATGATGTTGAAGTAGCAGCCCATGGGCAGGCTTTTCAGCAAGAGCAGCAGCGTATCCTGCAAGAGAGAAATTCAACAAGTGTCTTTACTCTTCAATAAACCATATTGCATAAAGTCTCAAAGAACTAGTATCCTACAGAGTAGACACTTTGTGTACTGAATTTCACACCAAACTACCTCTTGATGAATCCTGTGCAAATTGAGATGATTTACTAGTACAGGGTTGTTGTGTGTGTGTGTGTGTGTGTGTGTGTGTGTGTGTGTGTGTGTGTGTGTGTGTGTGTGTGTGTGTGTTTGCAGTGTGTGTGAATACCCTGGCACTGCTAATACGGTCCTGAGCCCCAGGTCCATAGTGAATGGGGCGTTCCATGCTGCCAGAGCAATCCACCACGAACAGAAACTCCCCGTGTGAGGTCATCGATGACATCACATCGTTGGGGAATGCTGGGTACAGGCTCAACATGACCACTGGGTCGCCCATCAGAGAGCCTGGGAGGGAGGGAGGGAGGGAGGGAGGGGGAGAGAGGGAGGGAGAGGGAGAGGGAGAGAGGGAGAGGGAGAGAGAGAGAGAGAACAGAAGTGTCCAACAGCCTTTCTCCATCTCTACAGTACATCTATGCTTCTGTCTCACCATGTCCCTCTATGTAAACATGGATTAAGGTAGTAGACTAGACTACTCATTCATCTCATATACACCAGTCTACAACAGAGCACACCCACATCCCCCTCACCTGGCTTGGCAGAAGCCTGTGCTGCCTCTACTATAGCAGTAGGCTGATGGGTGTCTTGGTAATACAACAACAGCTCAACGTCCCGGTCAAACTGATGACCTGCAGCCAGACTGACCTGCAGTTAGAACAACATTCAAATGAAGACAGAGCAGTCAGAGGGAATTTAACACCTATGAAGGATTCTGATGGTTCATGGTGCTAGTGAGAGTGAAAGCACACAGACATACTGTACACACACAGACATTCATTCATACATACGTATGTAAAGAAACACACTTACACATGCTTATGAACACACACATACATACAGACAGACACACAGTACCGTGGCTTGGGTTTTCGCTGTGTTGAGGTAGTTGAGTGGGTCCAGGGGACAGTTGGACTCTACTCTAGAGATGGGATGAGGGGACGACACGCAGGCACTGAGGGACAGACTGTACGGCACAGAACCAGCGGGCACTGAGGACACCTGGGCACTGCCATCACTACCACTGTCTGACCCTTAGAGAGAGATGGGGTGAGGGAGGGAGGAGGAGGGAGAGAGGCAGAGAGAGAAGAAAGAAAGATAGAGAGGAGAGAGAGAGACCCACAAATTAGCATGTTTTTGTTCCAGCCCAGCACTTCTACCTTTCAACTCAACAACTCACCAAGACCTTGATTCATTCAATCAGATGTATTAAAGCTGGACTGGAACTAAAGCCTGCACCACCCCCTGTGGGTCTCCAAGAGCAGGACTGAACACCACTGCGCTATGGGACCAGCTGCTGGTTCCCAGTCACAATGCTGCCCACAAGGTTTTTACTTTGTTTTGGACTGCCCGATGACGTATTACTGGTTTGTGTCTCTCTATACAGGTGTCCATGTTCTTACCCTGGGGTTGGTAGCGGGGGTTGAGCACGGCGGGCAGGCAGAGCCTCAGGCCTTCGTCAGCCTGTACAGCCAGCTCTGTCACATAGTCCAGGCTGACAGAGGCCTTCTCCCCTGGAGGCAGACTACCTACACTCAGCTTGAACACATCCGGGCTCTCATCACTCTCCTCCAATAGGAAGGCCTGCTGGCCCGAGCTCAACGCATCATCATACTGCTCCTGTGCCTGAGGGGGGGGGGGGGGGACAGAGGAACACACGGATGCATCATCAGCCTGAGACACAGCATAGAACAGTAACATCCAGGGGAGGGTGCTGTCTGACTGACACTAGTCAAGTCAATGGGGTTTGACAGAGTGGCTTTTGACAAATCAGTGGGTGGGGAACCAGTTTTACAGGGTCAAAGTCTAATAGTGAGAGCAGAGAGCTGTTAAAAAATACCTAATTTTAGAAGCCCCGTAGGTCATAGACTGCTGGTTAACCAATTGGGTAATGATAATAAATAATGGATTGGATTTATATAGCCCCTTTCTACCAACTGAGGTACTCAAAGCACGTTACATAGTAAGGGGGAAACTCACCTCATCCACCATCAATGTGTGGCACCCACCTGGGTGATGCATGGCAACCATTTTGTGCCAGAACGCTCACCACACATCAGCTAGCATGGTGTAGAGGTGAGGATTGATATGCCAATTAGGAATGAGGGAGATTATTGGGTGGCCAGGTTAGTCGGCCGGTAACACTTAACACCATGTTGCTTTTAAACCTGTGTAGTAACGCTGTAATTACACTAGTAACAACATTTGTACTAACATGTCATTGATTGGTATTAACATGAAATTAACCCGAATCCTGCTAAAAAAAAATCTTTTGTAGATCTCAGAAAAGGAATTTCAAAAATGTTGACAGTTGCATTTGTCTCGTTGTTGACTTGTCATTTCTCCTCACCTTCTGTTTCTCCTGAACTTCAGCCACCACCTCAGTCTGTCCTATCTTGGCGCTGAACCTGCAGACAGCAGCCTCTCCTGGCAGAGGGAAAACAAAGATGGCCTCCAGAGGGCTTTCCTCCTGGTTCTCATACTGCAGAGTGGAGCTCACAGTGGCCACATGCCCCTGCACACTCACCTCCACAGCAATACTCTTCAGAGGCACTGAGAGTGGATGGATGGAGAGAGGGATGGAGGGAAGAGAGAACTGACGATGACATCGTTTGGGAACCACTTAGAGATAGTAAATGTGATTGATAGCTCATCTGAGGTGTCACGCCCTGGCTCTGGGGACACTGTTATGTTGAGCCAGGGTGTGTAGATCTATGTTCCGTATTTCTGTGTTGGCCTGAGTGACTCCCAATCAGAGGCAACGAGTGTCAGCTGTTTGCTGGTTGTCTCTGATTGGGAGCCATATTTAATCTGTCGGTTTTTCCTTTGGTTTTGTGGGTTCTTGTTTCTAGTTGGTTTAGTTTCACCGTGAACTGTCACGTTACCGTCTTTGTTTGTTTTGATCGTGTTTTCGCTCATTAAAGAGTATGTTTGCCTGCAACGCTGCGCCTTGGTCTACTCCTTACCCTGACGGTCGTGACATGAGGGAAATGCTTAATTTATTGAAAACTATATAAAATGTGGTGGAAAGTTCTGAAGTATCTCTTTAATAAATAAAGATAAACTAGATACTGATGAGAGCTCATGTCTGGGAGAAGGACGAAACACACAGACATGGAGGGAAACAATCATTTCTGCTTTCAAACAGTACCTGGTTCATTCTTGACAGTTACCAATCCACAGCAGTTCACCATTTTGGCACCTGAATGGGGAAGTCAGGTGCCATATTAATGTCCTCTTACCGCGAAACAGGCACTGTTCACATCACTTTGATTAAGTTAATTGGTGTGTAACAGTAAATCGTTAGTAAAAAATCGTAATATGCCAAGCGTCTATGATAAATTGTTTGACAGTAGGATGACAGCCATTGAGAGGTTTATCTAACCATGTTGGTCATGCACCGTAACTGCTGGTTGATGATAAAGAATATTGCTTTGTACTTTGTACTGTTAGGTTCTAAATAAACAGAGTAAAAAACGAACGGACAACTAGTCACATAATATTGGTCTTCCCAGAACATATTTCCTCACACAACAGTTGCTTTGTGCAAAAAGGGACATTACCAAGCCTGAAGTTCTTGTGAACAATAAACAATGAAATTATCAGCAGCCTGACGCAATAATGTCAATCTCTGTCCATTGTCCATCCAGCATAACTTCTGGTTGAACTAGTCATAGAGATCCTATTAAATTGTTCCATTTAGGTTCTCTCTGCTTGAGAAGTTTTTTTTTTTTTTTTTTTAGGGGTGAAAGTCGTTCTTCCACCGGCTGCATTTTTCTTGTTTTATCCTGAGCATTAACGTCCAAGAATTCAAACTAGCATCATTTTGATCACCATCGGTTGGCTAAGCATTGACATGATAGACTTGTCACCATTGTTGTCTCTTGCTAGGCACATTAGGTTTTGTCATGGCTGCTAAGGGTTGGGGGCAACTATAGCACAGTATTAAAATGATCCTGAGCCAAGCAGCCAAATGATGAAAACAATAAGTGATTTAAACTTTAAGATGGTATGAATTATACAAATAATAACTTTAAATAGCCTTGGGGTCCTGTAGAGTAGGTTACTGTAACACCAAGTACATTTTGCTCTGTCCAGAGTACCCCTGAAGTACCCGCTCATGTGCATTTTACCAGTTAGCCTATGGTCTCATTAGTCTTCTCAAGTACCCCCTGTGGATAGGCCAAGTACTCCCTGTGGATAGGCCAAGTACTCCCTGTGGATAGGCCAAGTACCCCCTGTGGATAGGCCAAGTACTCCCTGTGGATAGGCCAAGTACTCCCTGTGGATAGGCCAAGTACCCCCTGTGGATAGGCCAAGTACCCCCTGTGGATAGGCCAAGTACCCCCTGTGGATAGGCCAAGTACCCCCTGTGGATAGGCCAAGTACCCCCTGTGGATAGGCCAAGTACCCCCTGTGGATAGGCCAAGTACTCCCTGTGGATAGGCCAAGTACTCCCTGTGGATAGGCCAAGTACCCCCTGGGGATAGGCCAAGTACTCCCTGTGGATAGGCCAAGTACTCCCTGTGGATAGGCCAAGTACTCCCTGTGGATAGGCCAAGTACCCCCTGTGGATAGGCCAAGTACTCCCTGTGGATAGGCCAAGTACCCCCTGTGGATAGGCCAAGTACCCCCTTTGGATAGGCCAAGTACCCACAGGGGGTACTAGTACCCCCAGGTTGGGAAACCCTACTGTAGAGTGCCAAGTAAGTTGCAAACAGATATAATCTGGGCACCATCAAACCACTCAAAATGTTTTGAGAGGAACAAAATGGCCATGCAGGGTGTAACTGTAAATATTGGTTATGTCCATAGCAATATCTATCCTGAACAAAAATATAAAAACGCAACATGTAAAGTGTTGGTGAGCTATAATAAAAGTTCCCAGAAATGTTACATGTACACAAAAAGCTGGTTTCTCTCAAAATGTTGTGCACAAATTTGTTTACATTCCTGTTAGTGAGCGTTTCTCCTTTGCTAATACAGTGGGGAGAACAAGTATTTGATACACTGTCGATTTTGCAGGTTTTCCTACTTACAAAGCATGTAGAGGTCTGTAATTTTTATCATAGGTACACTTCAACTGTGAGAGACGGAATCTAAAACAAAAATCCAGAAAATCACATTGTATGATTTTAAAGTAATTAATTTGCATTTTATTGCATGACATAAGTATTTGATCACCTACCAACCAGTAAGAATTCCGGCTCTCACAGACCTGTTAGTTTTTCTTTAAGAAGCCCTCCTGTTCTCCACTCATTACCTGTATTAACTGCACCTGTTTGAACTCGTTACCTGTATAAAAGACACCTGTCCACACACTTTTCAAACAGACTCCAACCTCTCCACAATGGCCAAGACCAGAGAGCTGTGTAAGGACATCAGGGATACAATTGTAGACCTGCACAAGGCTGGGATGGGCTACAGGACAATAGGCAAGCAGCTTGGTGAGAAGGCAATAACTGTTTGCGCAATTATTGGAAAATTGAAGAAGTTCAAGATGACGGTCAATCACCCTCGGTCTGGGGCTCCATGCAAGATCTCACCTCGTGGGGCATCAATGATCATGAGGAAGGTGAGGGATCAGCCCAGAACTACACGGCAGGACCTGGTCAATGACCTGAAGAGAGCTGGGACCACAGTCTCAAAGAAAACCATTAGTAACACACTACGCCGTCATGGATTAAAATCCTGCAGTGCACGCAAGGTCCCCCTGCTCAAGCCAGCACATGTCCAGGCCTGTCTGAAGTTTGCCAATGACCATCTGGATGATCCAGAGGAGGAATGGGAGAAGGTCATGTGGTCTGATGAGACAAAAATAGAGCTTTTTGGTCTAAACTCCACTCGCCGTGTTTGGAGGAACAAGAAGGATGAGTACAATCCCAAGAACACCATCCCAACCGTGAAGCATAGAGGGGGAAACATCATTCTTTGGGGATGCTTTTCTGCAAAGGGGTCAGGACGACTGCACCGTATTGAGGGAAGGATGGATGGGGCCATGTATCGCGAGATCTTGGCCAACAACCTCCTTCCCTCAGTAAGAGCATTGAAGATGGGTCGTAGCTGGGTCTTCCAGCATGACAACGACCCGAAACACACAGCCAGGGCAACTAAGGAGTGGCTCCGTAAGAAGCATCTCAAGGTCCTGGAGTGGCCTAGCCAGTCTCCAGACCTGAACCCAATAGAACATCTTTGGAGGGAGCTGAAAGTCCGTATTGCCCAGCGACAGCCCCGAAACCTGAAGGATCTGGAGAAGATCTGTATGGAGGAGTGGGCCAAAATCCCTGCTGCAGTGTGTGCAAACCTGGTCAAGACCTACAGGAAATGTATGATCTCTGTAATTGCAAACAAAGGTTTCTGTACCAAATATTAAGTTCTGCTTTTCTGATCTATCAAATACTTATGTCAGGCAATAAAATGCAAATTAATTACTTAAAAATCATACAATGTGATTTTCTGGATTTTTGTTTTAGATTCCGTCTCTCACAGTTGAAGTGTACCTATGATAAAAATTACAGACCTCTACATGCCTTGTAAGTAGGAAAACCTGCAAAATCGGCAGTGTATCAAATACTTGTTCTCCCCACTGTATAATTCATCCACCTGACAGGTGTGGCATATCAAGAAGCGAGGGGTATTTCTGTCTGTAATAAAGCCCTTTTGTGGGAAAAACTAATTCTGAATGGCTGGGCATGGCTCCCCAGAAGGTGGGACTACGCCCTCCCAGGCCCACCTATGGCTGCGCCCCTGCCCAGTCATGTGAAACCCATATATTAGGGCCTAATGATTTTTTTTCAATTGACTGATTTCCTTCTATGAATTGTAACGCAGTAAAATCTTCCAAATTGTTGCGTTTATATTTTTGTTCTAATAATATATATGTTCAAAAGTTTGGACACACCTACTCATTAAAGGGCTTTTCTTTATTTTTACATTGTAGAATAATAGTGAAGACATCAAAACTATTAAATAATACATATGGAATCATGTAGTAACCAAAAAAGTGTTAAACAAATCAAAATATTTTATATTTGAGATTCTTCAAATAGCCACCCTTTGCCTTGATGACACCTTTGCACACTCTTGGCATTCTCTCAACCAGTTTCATGAGGTAGTCACCTGGAATGCATTTCAATTAACAGGTGTGCCTTGTTAAATGTTAATTTGTGGAATTTATTTGCTTCTTAATGTGTTTGAGCCAATCAGTTGTGTTGTGACAAGGTAGGGGGGAAAATACAGAAGATAGCCCTATTTGGTAAAAGACCAAGTCCCGATTATGGCAAGATGAGCTCAACTAAGCAAAGAGAAATTACAGTCCATGATTACTTTAAGACATGAAGGTCAGTCCATACGGAACATTTCAAGAACATTGAAAGTTTCTTCAAGTGCAGTCGCAAAAACCATCAAGCGCTATGATGAAACTGGCTCTCATGAGGACCGCCACAGGAAAGGAAGACCCAGAGTCACCTCTGCTGCAGAGGATAAGTTCATTAGCGTTACCAGCCTCAGAATTTGCTGCCCAAATAAATGCTTTACAGAGTTGAAGTAACAGACACATCTCAACATCAACTGTTCAGACGAGGCCTTCATGGTCAAATTGCTGCAATGAAACCACTACTAAAGGACACCAATAAGAAGAAGAGACTTGCTTGGTCAAAGAAACACGAGCAATGGACATTAGAACGATGGAAATGTGTCCTTTGGTTCCAACAGCCGTCTTTGTGAGATGCGGTGTGGGTGAACGGATGATCTCCGCATGTGTATTTCCCACTGTAAATCATGGAGGAGGAGGTGTTATGGTGTGGGGGTGCTTTGCTGGTGAGACTGTCTGATTTATTTAGAATTCAATGCACACTTAACCAGCATGGCTACCACAGCATTCTGCAGCGATACGCCATCCCATTTGGTTTGGGCTTAGTGGGACTATCATTTGTTTTTCAACAGGACAATGACCCAACACACCTACAGGCTGTGTAAGGGCTATTTTACCAAGAAGGAGAGTGATCAAGTGCTGCATCAGATGACCTGGCCTCCACAATCCCCCGACCTCAACCAAATTGAGATGGTTTGGGATGAGTCGGACGGCAGAGTGAAGGAAAAGCAGCCAACAAGTGCTCAGCATATGTGGGAACTCCTTCAAGACTGTTGGAAAGCATTCCAGGTAAAGCTGGTTGAGAGAATGCCAAGAGTGTGC